GTCATGAAACTGTTTTGAAAGTGCCTTTGGGGAAAAAAAAAAAGAGTCTCCTCAAAAGTACTGCTAAATAAATTAAAATTACACTTGCAAATAGAATGATTACATTTGGCTGCACAACTGAATAACAAATCACACTGGAAAAATGGCTTTTTAAACTTGCAAGTACAAGTCTGCCCTCAGACTCACCCAGGAGTCCTTTCATTTCAGCACAAAGCCATTACTTTCCTATTAAGTGCCATCCACTACAAAACTAAAATCATGTGCAATTACAATTACATGCTCATTTAGATGTGCAACTGCTCATTTTTATACGTGCAATATTGATACTGTTTTTTTAAATGTTCTATGCTTTCCTAAATCCCATCTAAAAAAAAAGGAATGTGATTGTGTGGCTTTCTGCAATCTGTAGCCTTTAGGAGCAGAAGCATCATGGTTAAACAGAGGAAATAATCTCTTCGGTTCATCAAGCAGTTGGTTTTGCAGTGTTTTTCCCCTACATATAGGCATTTTGTTCACACAGCAATAAAACTTTTAATAATTATATTTTGTTATATGTAATAAATCTTTCTTGGTTAGGCCTGTCATTAGCTCTTTACATTAAATATTGTATATATCAGGTACTTGAGAGAACACTAGATTATCATCATGTAATATAAGAACATAAACAATACCAAATGAAGTAGAAATTTCCAGTAGGTTAATTACAAGCACCAGGCAAACTGAGAGACAACTGATAAAGCAGAAGAAACATTAGCGTATGTTTTCACTTCCCAGTGTCAGAAGCAGGAGTCTTTCTAGGCAGAGACCAAGTTGCTCAAGACGGCAGGTTGCTGGGATCTACGAAATGGCTGTGGTCCAGTGCTCTCTCTGCCTATGCCAGACTGCTGGAAAGCTGGCCTCACTGCTACTGCTGGTATTGCCAACTCCCGGGCAGCAGCGTGTGAGGTGTTAACTACTCCTGCTGGGATGGTCAGCAACTCAAAACCTAGCCATTATCAGCCCTAATATTCCCAGCTTCCCAGCAGGTCCAGGAGCAACAAGCTTTCAAAATATCAGGCACACTCCATGTCTTCCCTTTTGCCTTATTTCTGCTCCTGCTCCTTCTCCTTCCTTTATATGTTAAAATCAAGAGCCTAGTCTACAGCCCTTGTGAAATACACAAGTGAGTTTTTTTACTATTTATTTCATCGTTAGCATATTTAAATCTGCAAAAATACTGGAAGGATACATTACTCTATGTGATACCATTTTGATATGTCAACCACAAAAAAGTTGTGTTGATCACGTGGAAATCTGGTCTGTAGCACCTGACACTCTTCTTTCAAAAAACACAACAGCCCCATGAAAAAACCTATCTTTGTCCTGGCTGCTCCACTGACTTTCCCACCAGTAAGTGTTCTGCAGCAGCAACAGACAATTATATGCACTTACATATTATTAATTGGTAATTATTCTGATGTAGAGAAATGGTTAACACAAATAACATAAATAGGTAACCATGAATGGGGAGTAACTTTTACATGACAGTCCTGTGGATATAAATAATGGGTCAGAAGAAACAATACACATTTCTGAGTATAAATGAATTAACTTGGGAGAAATTACTTCAAACCAGATTTAAATGGCAGCAAGTGGGTTTGCAAGCATGCAGATATACTGCATCAGTGTTTGCAAAAAGAATGTGATGGTGCACCATGCATGGACAATTCAGGAAATTAACTGGAAGATGATGTGTTATGAGAGAAGACTACAGAAGCATGACTTCTACGTATGATAGCCTTTATTTCAGGGACAGTATTTAACTCTGCACACTTGAGAAAAATAAAAATCAGAGCTTGCAACAAAGACAAACCAAGATGCTTGGTGTTAGAACAAAAAAAATATCTTTATATATAACAAACCAGGACTGTAAATCTTACCACTGGATATTAATAATTAAATACCTGTTATTTAAGTACTTACTATTTATATAATTGTTCCATACTTGATGTTAACTACCTACTCTGAACCTCTGGAGTCAGAGGTAGTGGGTGCTATGAAATACCAGAAAACAGAACCAACCAAAAAAACAGAACAAAAAAATGTAAGGACTTTTCCGCAATGTGTACTTAAGTAATGTAAATAAGATGATCATTTGGAATCTAATAAATTAACATCAGGGAATTTTAGCCTCCCCCCTTGTGAGTTACCATGGCATTTCCGCTGTTACTGTTGGTTACATGTTGTAAGAAAAAAATACATTTTCATTTCCAAAACATGCAGGATGCCATCATTTACGTAAATCAAAAGCCAGTGGCTGTTCTGTGGTCCCTCATACATGTGCAACGGGTGAGTGTGATACAGGCAGGCTGGCAAGTGCCGTTTTCTGGTTCACAACTCCGTCTGACTGCTTTCCCAGGCCTGTGGATTTTACTTTTCTTTCTGGATGAATTTCGTTGTGGAGACCTTGCAGTTGTGTTCAGAAGTCACTTATTTTCTCTGAATTTTCATTCCCTGGCAGTGTTCACGGCCAGGTCGGACAGGGCTTTGATCAACCTGGTCTAGTGGGAAGTGTCCCTGCAGGGGACATGGCAGGAGGGGGGGTCGTTTCCAATCCAAACATTCTATGATTCCACGACTACGCGTTGTGGGACGAAGTAGATCTACGGACACAATTTCCAGTCCCTCTCTGTCCTGACACAAGAGGGAGCTAGCGACAACGCCTTTCTTGCACCTTGGCAAGGCCGACAAAACCCTTGGCGACCCGAAAGGCACACTTCAAGTCTGCCCGCCCTCGCTCCGTAACACAGGGGGTAGCGGCAAGCAGCCACGGCAGCCACACAAAGGGGCGCCCAACGTCGCCTCTCGGCTACACGCGCCCCCACCGCCCCCCCCATCGCGTCAGTTAAACGGCCTCAAGCGCCTCACCCCTCGTGGGCCCCCGCTGTGGTAGCTGCTTGCGGCTGGGGGGGCAGCCAGAGGTGGGCTAAGGATCGGACAGAGGAGAGCTGGGGAGGCGGCCAGAGGTGGGCTAAGGGTCGGACAGAGGAGAGCTGTCGCTGCTTGCGGCTGGGGAGGCAGCCAGAGGTGGGCTAAGGATTGGACAGAGGAGAGCTGGGGAGGTGGCCAGAGGTGGGCTAGGGGTCGGACAGAGCTGGGGAGGCGGCCAGAGGTGGGCTAGGGGTCGGACAGAGCTGGGGAGAAGGCCAGTGATGGGCTAGGGGTCGGCCTGAGGTGGGTTGGGGCAGCCCTCGGGGGCGTGAGGGGCTAACAAGCGGTGAGGTGACCCGCCAGGTAACGCCGCCGCTTGCCCGTAAGCACCGCTGCGCGGGAGGGTGGCGGCTTCTGTCCGGCTGGTGGGGAACGGTGGTAGTTACGGTGAGGGCTCTGGGTGGAACAGCGCTGTGCTTCTTTGGGCGAGGGGAGATCGTCAGGTTTTGGTTACTCGTGGGCTTGCTGGGCGCTGAGGGGGGGGGGGGGGTTCACAAGAATTGTGTTAGTTCTCATTCATATGTTCAGAAAAGAGTGTTCCAAGGAACATTTCTGATGGCCCTCATCAGCTGTCTACTGTGAATGTCCAGTTTGTACAGATGCTCAAAACTAAAAGGCCATGCAGAAACCCTGCTAGGCCTGTTTGCTAATGCATGGAGCTTCCTCTCAGTGGGCAGGTCTCCAGTTGGAGCAACTCCTGAGTATGGCCTTTGTAAGGGGGAGGTCTTGGGGTGCAGAAGGCACCTCTGAAATAGTAGTCTCTTACAGAAGCAGTTTATTTCTCAGCTATTAAAACTAATTCTTCTCCACTTTTCTTGATACTGGATAGAGCACTATTCAAGAAGGTTGGCCTAGGTGATATGAGATCTTTTCTAGCCTCTTGTGCTTAAAGAAGGAAATAGAGCTGTTTTTTTATTTTCCCTCTGCCCAAAATTCACTCTCTCTCATACTCTGTTCTATATTCCTTGGTTTTGGAGTATGGGGTTTCTTAGAAATCCTCCTCATAGAAATTTGGGAGTGGGGTAAAGGGGCAAAATGCACCATTTTGCTTTCACCATAAGTGATCTTGTTTTTATAATAAGGAGGACACTAAAAATAGAGGTGTGCTATCTTCTAGAAGCTAGCCAGTCAGCCTCTTAAACAGTTTCTCCAGTTTTTAAAAAGGGTACATATCAGTTGCAGTCAGGGCATGGAGGAAAACTTGATGTTTTTAATCCTTCAGTGCAAATATTACTGCATTGCTTTATATGGAAATTTAGTATCTTGAATAAATATGATTTAAACAAACATTCCTAATCTGGATAACATGAAATCTTTCATGTCAGTAGTTTCAGTTCATTCACCTGCAGGAATTTTGATTGTTGCTTTTGACTACAGCTTTGAATTTTTCATTTTTAAGGTGAGAACGTAGCACACCTGGGGAATCAAACCAGAATTTTTTTTCCTGATTTTTTCTCAACTGCTGTAATTCAGACAGTAAAGATTTAACAGTTGGTTTCTAGACCTGAATAGGTTGAAACCAGCTATATTGGAAAGTTGTTACTTGAATATATTAAAAGTTAAGTGTTCAACTTCAAAAGATTTTAATTTAGTAAATCTTCAGGTGATTTCCCCCTGCTCCCCCCACACCTAATGCAAAGATTAGTTAATGTAGGGAGTGATACTGGATCATATTTTAAATAGCCTAACTTCTCTCCTGTTCCATACTGGAACTGGCTAATAATCTCTATATCTTTAACTCTTGAAGTCATGATTGTTTAGTTTGAATTTTTTTTGTTATAACAATTATTCCCTTGTCCTGTAAAGTCTCTTAGAGAAAACACAATTTCAGTACCATTCATTATTGTGTTAGTTGTTTATGCTATTCTTTTTCTCTAAAAGAAGTTGAAGTTCCTTCAAACGATGAAATCTCCCAGTTGACGAAGAAGATTGGAGGGGGGTAGGATTAAAATTAAGGTATAGATATTACAAGTTAAGATTTTATGACCAATGGTTTACATAGTGGGAGATCTGTCAGCCCAGCACACCTTAGCAGTTTTTGGTGCTTCTATAAGCAGCTAAACTGAGTGGGAAGTTGCAAAACTATTAATTTAACTAAAGTAGATATTAAAAGCCAGTTATGCAAGTTTTATGTAGATATATATGGAAGTCTTACAGCCAGTAGACTGTACAGGGTACACTAGTGTTAATTAACCCAGTTAATTAGATTGTTAGAAAACACCTTAATTTCCATCATGTGTCCCCATCTCCTTTCTCAAGTGTACAGACAAGCATATAGAAAAAAAATTTTAAAAAAAGAAGCTAGGGTAGCTCAGTTGGAAGGAAAAATGAGAGGTATGACTGATTCTGTCCTTATGCAAATTCTGTCCAGTATATTCTGTCATGTAATAAAATTTCTCTGTTAGGCCTTACTTCTTTTTCCTGTCTAGATACTAAAATATAGTATATCCTCTTGTAAAATGCAATTAATGAGTAGTAGATAGACTGATGTTCTTCCTTAGCAGCCCCATGTGGAACTGAATGCTTTGTATTGACTTCTGGTGGTTTTTTACAAGTGTTGTGCTAAAAAATGTTAAAGGAAACTAAAAAGTTTATTGGTAAATCCCTTCAGCCAGCACGACCTGTGCATTATCTGTCTTCTAAACAAGGTGAGTAGCATAGATATGATACAGTTTACTTTGGCAAAGCTGCAGTTGCTTTTAAGGAGATAACAAGGGCATGTAAGGTGACTTGGGTATTTTTTTTTTAATGACTTTGTTCAAACTGCAGTCATGCGTAAATGTCTTGCTTTGTGTTGAGTTTACTGCATCATCTCTGCGATAAAGTCTGAATTAAAACTAGATTAGGTTTATGCAGAACTCTTTGGTGTTGTTCTAGCTTGGCATCAGAAATTCTAGTTTCAGAAAGCTGGATCAGGCTTCTCTATTAAATCTGGATTTCTTGGGTTAGTTGACTCCTGCTTTGAAAACATAAAACATGTATAATGTAACACAGATTATTGTTTAGGTTTTATTGCAAGCACGCTATACTGCACTGTACTGTTCTTGTCTAGCCTTCATGCAAGTTTAAAACAAACAAAAGCCTTAGAAAAAAATCATGCAGTATTTATGTCCGGTGTGGGTTTGGTTTTAAACCTGTGTATGCTATCTAGATATTGAAGTATTAGCAGCTACTATTATTGTTAAATTAGAAATACTTTGGTGGACAGAGAAAGTAACAGCAGTGCTGATGTTAACATGAGAAATTTTTACTTTCTTTGAACTTCATGAAAGAAATGGAAAAATGGTCCTATGGTGATTTAAAATTTCAGGTTTTGACTACATGCCCATATAATCTCTTTGCAGTTGGATTTCAGCAATGTTCTTGTGTCAGTTATTACAAAATAAAAATGTGGAGTATATTTAAATGTTTTGTTGTTTTTTGTTTGTTTTTTTTTTTATGTTTTCTGTGTCTTTTCCAGAATCAGCCATTGTGTTAAACTTCCAGACTAAATTACCTGGCAACACTGAAGTATGTTTGCAGAGTAAAGTTGACTGGGTGAGTACTGAGTAAATAGTAGATTACAAAGTTGATGGAATGTGTTCTAAACTGTTATGAATTGGAGGTCAGCTGTTCCCTTATGTTATCAAATGTAAAGTAAACTATTTTGAGCTAGGAGTGTCCTTGATGTTATAAACGAGCAGTGTCAGAAGTGTTAAAAAGAAGTATGAGTTTCATGAATGCCCTTCCCTGATATTTGCATACACTAGTTCCTGAAAAATGCGTTCTGTGAATTGCTTATTCAGATAGAGTCTTACAAAAATCTCTGTGGCGTTTCTTTAGTCTTCATTGAATTTAAGACAGCTGTTTAAAACTTAAAGAACTCATATACGGTCTTTGTTTATTATGTGTAAAGGATAACATTAGAATTTTTATATTTTTTAATCTTTCTGAATATTAAGTTTCAAAAAGCATCAGTGATGATCTGAAAAAGCTGTACGTTGTTACCCATTTACTCTGGCTCCTGATATGGTGAAATGTCCCCCTTCCTAGAATAATATATGTATGAAAATATATATATATTTCACTTCAAGAACTTGTTCTTCAAAATTGTAATTGTATTTCACATACTTTAAATCTTACTGCCTTTCTGCAAGACGGTAATAGTGCTTTGTATCTTACAAGCATAAAACTTTAATTATCCTCATCCTCTTTCGTTCCTCCTCCTCCAATATAGTACCTTTTACAAAAGATAAACAAGCACAACACTAAACACACTGTAAAGTGAAAAACAAGTTTTGCTATAACACTTAGTAGGGCTAAAGGAAAACCAGCTTGTTACAACTTTCTATACCAGTCACAGTCTTATGTAGTGACGATCTGTTAAAAAAGGAATAATTTTAAGTTAATTTAGGTTAATACAGGAAATACAGGTTACTTTCTGGGAAGTATGGTGAATGATGAAGATTTTAAAAAGTAAAGCAGATTATATTTGCCGTGAATTTACAGATGTTTAAAAAGCAAAGGAGGCTTTAGAAACAAAAGAAATGCCAACTCTTGACAAACCAGGTTCTTAAAGCAGTGAAAGAACTGAAGAAGAATCCGGCAACTGAATTCTCCAAACTGCTTTACTGTGGTATATTTAGTATGCACACTTAAAGCTGCTTAGACTTCTGCCAGGAAGAAAAGGATTATCATTATGGAACATCAGGAGTGCTGTTTAGTGTTAGATTCAGCTCAGTACAAAGAACAATGAATTATAGAATTAAAACTACTGAGTCTGAAACTTTTAGTCTTGAGCCTTAGAGGAAGTGGAGAAGAGCTACTGTTAATAATAAGCACGGTGACAGTGCTTGTATGTAAGATGTTAACTTTGATTCTAGGGTATTTCTGCCAAACTGGTGTTCAGAATGAAAGTGAAGCCTGAATGCTCGCTGTGCCCTAACTGGATAATTTAAAGCAAAGAATAAGTTTTATTACTTCATGGTGTGCAAGGAGTTTTCAGATCTGGAGAGTGTTAAGTCCATTACCTCAGATCTATTTGAGGTAGGGAGAGATGCTTGAAAAGTCTCCCATCAGTCAGTATCAGCTTTAAATTACTACTTCTTATCTACCATTTAAAAATCATAGAATCATAGAATAGTTAGTGTTGGAAAGGACCTTAAGATCATCAAGTTCCAACCCCCCTGCCATGGGCAGGGACACCTCGCTCTAAACCATATTACCCAAGGCCTCGTACAACCTGGCCTTGAACACTGCCAGGGATGGAGCATTCACAACCTCCCTGGGCAACCTGTTCCAGTGCCTCACCACCCTAACAGGAAAGAATTTCCTCCTTATATCCAGTGTAAACTTCCCCTGTTTAAATTTTAACTCATTACCCCTTGTCCTGTCACTACAATCCCTAATGAAGAGTCCATCCCCAGCATCCCTATAGGCCCCCTTCAGATACTGGAAGGCTGCTATGAGGTCTCCACGCAGCCTTCTTTTCTTCAGGCTGAACAGCCCCAACTTTCTCTGCCTATCTTCATATGGGAGGTGCTCCAGTCCCCTGATCATCCTCGTGGCCCTCCTCTGGACTTGTTCCAACAGTTCCATGTCCTTTTTATGTTGAGGACACCAGAACTGTACACAGTACTCCAAGTGAGGTCTCATGAGAGCAGAATAAAGGGGCAGGATCACCTCCTTCGACCTGCTGGTCACACTCTGAAATGATGTTGAGCTTTAGAAATATGTGCCCTGCTATTGGGTTATTCTTTATAAATGGATTCCATTCTTTGTAGATAGATTTCTGATAGGAAAGTGTGTAATAGATTTCAGATAGGAATGTGTGTAAGAGACCTGTTATGAGTGGTGATGCTCAAATGCTAAGTGTTGGACTGAAAACTGAACATAATGGAACTCTTGATATTATAAAGTAATTGGCAGGATGATATGGTGCAGGAAGAAATGTAAAAATGCTGTGTTGACACTGGCACATTGCTGTACATTCTGCTTTATCAAGTATGTATTTTTTTGTGGATTTAAGAGTATGTTAAATCCTTGTTTGTACTTGGAAAGAGCCTTTAAATAGCTAAGACTTCCAATGACTAATCGAACATCACAAAGCAGTTAGAATTAGCAGTATGGTTCTCTGTTAAGTTCATTCTCCAAAATCCCTAGATTTTTTCAGTTTTTTTTTTTTTTTTTTTTTTCCAGTTTTAGACAAGTCAGGAAAAGATAACAATTTAAACCACAAAAGTGAGGGCAGGGTGGATAATATACTAGAAATATTTTGCCATTTCATGATTTCTCCTCTTAGCACACCATGCAAACTGGTGATACATTTATGGTATTAACTGCTATTTCTGTCCAGATAGTAGGACCTCTTCTGCTTTTGGAGCTGCTTCCCCAAATTTTCAGTTCTTTCTACTCTCCCCCGCCATTTCCCCCTGTCCCCTCCCAAATGAGGCACTAGAATGGGTTGCCCAATGAAGTTGTGAACGCTCCATCCCTGGCAGTGTTCAAGGCGAAGCTGGATGTAGTCTTGGGTGACATGGTTTAGTGCGAGGTGTCCTGCCCATGGCATGGGGTTGGAACTAGATGATCTTAAGGTCCTTTCCAACCCCAAGTATTCTGTGATTCTGTGATTCTATATCTATCTACAAATGAAATTACAATTCCTCAGCCAAACCTGTGGAGACATTTTGAGAGCTGAGTCAAACTGTTGAGAGTAAACAGCTTTCCTACATTCCAAAACAGTTCAAGGTTTTGGCAGCTGGAAAGAACTCAAGTGTTATACTACAGTTGTTAGGTATTCATGCTTATGAAACCTTTTTTATCATGAGGGAATCCTAATCTCTCTCTTAAGTAAAGTCCTTCCTGCTTTTATTATTCCCAAGTATAGCAGCTTCTGGCTGTGTTCTGGGTGAATTCAGAGAAAAGGAGATAATTGTGTTATTTTAAAAAACTAAAAATAGCACTGTGAGATTCTGTCTAAAAGATTGCTGTCTCAAATGTGGTTACCTATACTGTTTTGTAGGTAGTTGAACTATTCCTTTATGTAATCAAGAGTAACATTCTACAGGTACGAATTAAACTGTGCCGCAATTATTATTTTTTACTAAGAAACCCAGAAACATATATCTGTGTTTTAATGTGCTTAATGTAAACAAACTTCATAACTTAATGCTGTGAAATATACCAAAAAATGTTTAATTCTTTCCTCCTTATTTTAGTTATCTGAAATGACTGAAGTGAAGATTTTAACTCAAACTATGATGCCCTGTCAACCAAACCAGCATGAATCAGAAGCAAAAAAAGGTAAAATACTGCATAAAGATCTGTGTCAGAGTTATATTCTGGATAGAAGACAACTGAACTTCAAAGTAATGTGGGATAGGATGAATATTATTTTTTCTGATTAACTGGTGCTTAGAGAGTTTGGCTTTCTTCTGTATCACAGTTTGGGAGCTACGTGAAACGTTTCTGTTTTTCATATAACACTCTAGAGAAAGTGTACAAATTAGCCACAGCTGAGGTGAGAAACCTCCACTAGTAGATTTGCTCACTTTTAAGGGTGTGCCTGTCTTTTTTCCTTCATTTTGTTTTGTTGTTTTGGGGTTTCTTTGGGGGACCACAAAAACAAATAAAAACACCCAAGCATAAAAAGAAAATCTTCACACAAAATCCTGTTTTTATGTAAAGTGCTTCTGTGTAGAGTAGTACAGATTTGAGTTGCGTCCATTAGCCTGTTGCAGGGCTCAATCATGGCATGCAGATTATTGCATGGAACCAATTAAAGAATTTAGCAGTTTGGCTTTGTTTTCCTACTCTTACTACAGTGCTTCTGAAATATTAATTTTCTGATGGTTAGAAATCATTTTATGATTAGTTCTAGACAGTTTGTTCTTCTGTCAACACTGTCCTTAAATATTGGTTCTTATGCTTTTCTTTTTGTACTGCTTATCACTCAGTACTCATAAAACATAACAGTGTTCTTGTCAATGTTTGGTAGTTTAAACAAGCCAACCTTTTACTCTTTTTTTATTAAGAAATAATCCCAGATCCCAAATGTATCCTCACAGTCCTCCTCTTCACTGCTTCCTGCCTAGTTCTTCATTCTTAAATATGTCACAGGAGCTGTGACAGTGTCATTGGGACAGTTTCTTCTGTTCATATCTTCCATATCAGGCATCTCAAGTCTCCATCTGCAATCTCCAATCCTTAAGTAATCTCTGAAGACTTGGTTTGGTCTTAGTACTAAAGAATTGAAATAATTCTGTTAATTTTTTTTGAGTCTTTCCTATTTTTCTTCAGTCTGAGGTTGCCATCACCCAGGTTCTTGAACAGTAATTTTACACTGTCGTGTGATTAATTTGAAAGTTAAGTCTTCATGTAACCCCTCTTAGGCTCAGGTTTGTTTTTTCTATTCTTGGTCTTAGTAAATACAGTACTGTTCCTCGGGCCTAGTTTGGTGCCAGGCTTGTCAGGCTTTCTATCTGTTTCTGATCTTTTACTGATTCTTCTTGTGGTTTGTTGAGACTTGTGTTTTGCAAGATCTTCAGTGACTTCCCATCAGATCCTAGTCTCATGTATAAGTCATCACACTGGGTCTTTTTTAGTGGTTGAGTGACCTGTGATGCCTTGTTGAGACTACTCCCCATTTGTCCATAATTTTTAACCTTTTTCAACACTTCTTTACAAAGGCCTTTTGTTTGTTTGTAGATTGTCGTTATTCTTTCCTTAAGGAAAGTTGTACCACAACTTCAAAGGTCCTGTTGTTCAGCTGCTGTCTACAAATACTTCCATTGCATTGTAAGATTTCCATTGGAACTCCATTTTTATCTCCAGTTGTACCTTAAATTCTAGATAAGAATTTCCATTTCATATCTGTTTAGTTACCTATCTCTGCAGTTCATAAGTGCTTGTAACTCCTATCTCAATCACTTCCTTGCTTTCTTTCAGAATCATACAATACTTTTGAGTTGGAAGGGACCTTTACAGGTCATCAAATCTAACCTCATTGCAATGAGCAGGACATTTCAACTAGATCAGGTTGCTCAGGGCCCTGTTCAGCCTGACCTTGAATGTTCCTGCTCCAGTGCAGACAGCTGCAGAGCTGGACACAGTACCTCCAAATGAAGAGGGGCAGAATCACCTCCTTTGGCCTGCTGGTCATGCTTCTTTAATGCAGCCCAGAATATGTTTGGCTTTCTGGGCTATGGGTGCATATTGCTGTCTCATGTCCAGTTTTTCATCCACCAGTAACCCCAAGTCCTTGGCAGGCTTGTTCTCAGTCCCTTCATCCCCCAGCCTGTATTGATACCAGGGTTTTGCCCCACCCCAGGTGCAGGACCTTGCACTTGGCCATGTTAAACCTCACAAGGTTCACACGGACCTAATTTTTAAGCTTGTCCACATCCCTCAGGCATGTCAGCTGCACCACTTGAGCTTAGTGTTCTCTGCAAACCTGTTGAGGATGCACTCTATCCTACTGTCTGTGTCATTGATGAATATATTAAACAGTACTGGTCCTGGTACAGGCTCCTGAGGGACACCACTCATCACTGATACGCATCTGGACATTGAGACATTGACCACTACCTTCTGGATGTGACCATCCGACCAATTCCTTATCCACCAAACAATGCATCAAATCAATATCTCTCAGTTTAGAGAGAAGGGTGTTGTGGGGGACTATATTGAAGGCCTCATAGAAGTCGTCTTCATCATATGCTTTTAAACAAGGAAAAAATAAAAGAAAGCCGTAAGTTTTCAAATAAGTCAATTTGATAAAGTGAAATTCTCTGTAATTTCCTACAAATTATCCGAAGACAAGGTCAGACTTAAATTACTGTTGGTTTTACTACTGATTTTTGTATTCTATGTGCAGCATTTCCACCTTTGTATAAGAAATAAATCAGTTTTCTGAATTCCGAACCCTAATGCCTTGAACAACGTAGAACGTTGTAATTTTGTGTTTTGACAGGAAGGATCAAATACAGCAGGGATTTCCTTCTGAAACTTTCAAGTGTTTCTCTCTCTCAGAAGAAGCCAGAGTTTCTTCCTGATCATCCTATTGTACTTGAAAAGCCAGTAAGTGCATTTTTTTATTAACTGAAGTTGTAAAACAGTCATGGAGGTTTTGACAGTCCATTTGATAGGAAACATATTTCTTCTGATTTGTCTGCCTAATTGATAGAACTGTCAAAAGACAGATTGTACAGTTCAGCTCTGTTACTTTTGTACATGATTTCCCCAATCAGTATTTGGCATCTTACCATGGCAAGTGCCATACAAAGGAAGAGTGGTGGTTTTTTAATTGTTTTCCAGAAATTCCAAATTTAAAATCAGTATGGAATCATATAAAAGCTTTCTACCATGAAATCACAGTACATAGCTTTAGTAGTCTGTGTGAATTCCATACCTGTCTTCTGAAAATAAAAGAGAGCAATCTTGATATATTTCTGACTTTGTGAAAGTCTGGTTTCAGTGTTTAAGTTGCCCATGATCAATGTCCACTGATGAGCTTAATGCAGTTTGTGTTAACATTCCTGATCTGTGTTATTGGGAAGAAATGAATAAAAATGAATGATGAATGTGAAGGATATCCAGGAGTGCCACCTTAACCTGTAAGAGGAAGTAATCCTCAAAGACTTTGTATGCTTAGAGAAAAAAATTTAATGCCTCGCATTCCACACATCAGGTATGGGAAAACATTCTTGGGTATAAACATTATATCAAATCAGGCTAAATACTAGGCTGCCTTTGAGGCCATAAGGGTGTAGTTCTTCTAGAAGTAGGATTTCTATCCTGGAGAAGTATGTCCGGATGACTGCTATGTTGGCCACAATTTGAGAGTTTTAAACTTCTGATCCTTGGGAGAAAAAAAGTTAAACTAATGTAAGACAGAAATTGGCCTTACTTGAGCTAACTTTTTACATGTCCTCAAGATGAAAGCTTTACTTGTTTGAAAGCCTGCCTGCAGATAGGGAAGTTACAACTCATGAATTTCCCAACTTCTTTTCCCCTCTTCTTGTCACTTGAGTTTCCAAGGGGGGCAAATTTCAATAATATATACATTTTCACATGGTTATGTTCGTAAGTAAAGGAGAATCCCTGCAGAATGTAATCAGTGGATGAATGAACTCTAAAATTGCTCATGACATGGCAAAATTACAAATAATTTCGGAAAAGGGAAAGAAGGATAGTAAAAACTGGTGCAAGCCAAGATGGGTTGCATGTGTTTTAAGAGATTGTTTTGGGGCTGGGGGATCTATGTTTGTAGGATTCAGTTATATATAGTTGTGTTGTTAGAAATAGAGTAACTGACTGTGAGGCCCCCTCTTAAAAGTTTTCCCTCTGCATATGCTAGTTTATCGTACATATAAAAAAAACTGAGTTTTCTGGTTCTATTCAGCTGCAAAAGGGGATGGGTAAATTAGAAACCCTTATTAATCAGGATATTGAATTAAAATAACATAAAGTATATCACTTAGCTATCATTTCTGGTGTCTTAAGCACAAAGTATGGATGGTTAAGTAGGAAGCTAAAGGAAAAAAATCCTGGTTTTAAAAGAGCAAAAGCTGGAGAATTTGCTGTTTGATCCTGGAGAGTGTTGAAAAAGGTATTGCAAGTATACTGCTCTCTTTAGTATATAAGGGTAGTAGTATCAGCTTGCTAGTCATACTTCAGAAGAAACTGGGTTTGTGATAGTCTGCATTTCTGAAATGACTGGAATAAATGTTTTGTTGTTAATATAAGGTAAACCAGCCACTCTTGTATTCCAGTGTTGAATTTTGTGTAGATATTGAATTTTTAGTAATTTGGGAATTTGGCAGCATATTAGCATGAATTAAACATTTAAGCTATTTGGATGTGAACTGTCTTAAGATACATTTTGTATGGCCGCATGGATATAACTGCTTGCTTTTCACTAAGCAGTGTTCTTATTGGCAAGGAAGAGTTTAAAATTACCATTATTTCCAAGAGGGTTGTAAGATCTCAGTTAAAGAACCTTGCTAGAAATCCCAGTGTCAGTGAGCCTGAATTTAGGAGCAGGTGGTTGTCAACAGTTTGCCACTGAATTGACTGTTCAGGTAGTTCTTGCCCATCTCAGGACTTTTCCCTAGTTGATTTTTTGAAGTTGCTGCTGGAGTGTATGCCCATTGTTGAGTGAAACCTGTATTTTCAGATGGAGAAAGCTTCCGAGAGAGACTTGTACAAGACAGATGCTGTGGTTGCCATTAGGAGGCTGTGGGTAGCATCTGTAGTGAAGGACACTGTTTTTTTTTTTGAGATGTGGGGATCAGGTCTGCCTGTACATAGCTCAGCATTTGAAGTCTCTGTGTTGACTGTGTCTTCCAGAAAGATTTCAGGTGAAGTCTGTATGATTAATGAAAGTAGAGCTGTTTGCATCAATCAGAAAACCCAAACATAACAAAAGAACAAAACCAAAACCAAACAAAATTGTTAAATGTATGTGGAGTAGAAATGGGTTATAAGCAGACCCCCAAGAACTTAATTTAAATGACCTCTTAGAATGGAAGTAATTTGATGGTTTATTTGTCTTACAGGAAAAGGGCAGGCCTTTTATTGACATGTGCAAGAAGTGACAAGTTGTTTGGAAAATGAGAAATCCATCAATGAAGGAGCTACATGTGATGTAGATCTTTAAGATTTTTGAAGATACTTGGGTGGCTGCAGATGAAAGTAGAACCCAATGAAATTTATGGAAAAGCCTATTTCTTCCTGTAATTGCCTGACTGCGTTAAAAGCCAAACCTTTAATTTGTAAAGCCTGAGATGGTAATAACAATTATAGTGAAAATAAAAAATTCTGCATTTTGCTGTGGCAGGATTTTTTCCTTGAATTGTCTGTGTTATGTAGCCATGTAGTGTGTCTGACCATAAAGTCTAAACCAGTGCTTGACTGGGGCTTTTTGCCTGCTCCCATCACGCTTCGTTAGCACTAATAATAGAATGACACATACTGCCTGTGTCAAATTTCAGCTGTCTTAGGGTATGTGCCCCTCTAGGTTATTTTTTTCCCCTGAAACTTCACTGGCTTGCTTTCTTAATTTGAAATCTCCAACTTGACACAAGTTAGTACATCCTTAGTATATTATGCATACGTACCTTCTTTCAAATTACAGTGTCTTGCTACTAAGTTTCACTAAAACGTGAAATCTATCTCACCATGGATCATAGAATCATAGAATAGTTTGGATTGGAAAGGACCTTGAGATCATCTAGTTCTATCCCCCCTGCCATGGGCAGGGACACCTCACACTAAACCATGTCACCCAAGGCTCTGTCCAGCCTGGCCTTGAACATTGCCAGGGATGGAGCATTCACAATTTCCTTGGGCAAACCATTCCAGTGCCTCACCACCCTAACAGGAAAGAATTTCCTCCTTATATCAAATCTAAGCTTCCCCTGTTTAAGTTTTAACCTCTTACCTTTTGTCCTGTCACTACAGTCCCTAATGAAGAGTCCATCCCCAGCATCCCTATAGGCCCCCTTTAGATACTGGAAGGCTGCTATGAGGTCTCCATGCAGCCTTCTTTTCTTCAGGCTGAACAGCCCCAACTTTTTCAGCCTGTCTTCATATGGGAGGTGCTCCAGTCCCCTGATCATCCTTGTGGCCCTCCTCTCGACTTGTTCCAACAGTTCCATGTCCTTTTTATGTTGAGGACACCAGAACTGCACACAATACTACAGGTGAGGTCTCACGAGAGCAAAGTAGAGGGGCAGGATCACCTCCTTCAACCTGCTGGTCATGCTCCTTTTGATGCAGCCCAGGATACGGTTGGCTTTCTGGGCTGCAAGTGCACACTGCTGGCTCATGTTCATTTTCTCATTGACCAACACCTCCAAGTCCTTCTCCGCAGGGCTGCTCTGAATCTCTTCTCTGCCCAACCTGTAGCTGTGCCTGGGATTGCTCTGACCCAGGGGTAGGACCTTGCACTTGTCATGGTTAAACTTCATGAGGTTGGCATCATCCCACCTCACAAGTGTGTCAAGGTCCCTCTGGATGGCATTCCTTCCCTCCAGCGTATCAACCGAACCATACAGCTTGGTGTCATTGGCAAACTTGCTGAGGGTGCACTCAATCCCACTGTCCATGTCACCAAATCCCACTGTCCATGTCACTGAGACAGATCTCAGCAAGAGAGCTGCCTATGTTTTGCATTCCTTGAAGTTCCTTGAAAATAATTGACCAGTGGTTTTGACTTTGAAAAGTGGAAGTAATGGACAAAACTGAGGAACAATACAGATTTTAATCATTTTTTATATGGATAAATAAGTATACCAAAGCATATTTTATTCTGTTACTTTCTCCTTAAATTAGTAGAATATTTCATAGTGAAGTTGAAAGCTGTAGTTTATGTTATGAAAGCATCTTTCAGATGACAAGTGTCAGTAATAGATATTTGTATGAATACAGTTGCCCTCAAAACCCTTACTCAGACCCACAACAACATCATCTGGGCACTGAAGGCAATTTTCTTGTATTTGTCACAAATGATAATGGAAGCTAAATGAGAATGTATTGACTGGTAATCATAAAAGTGCAGAAAACTTTCAACTTGCATTTGATAGACACTATTTCTTTCCCTGAACTACACAAATTTGTTTCAGTTCGGGTTTTTTTTGATGTTTATTAGCACACAGTCAGTTAAAATAAAGTTGCAAGTCTATTCTATTATTTGTATGTTGTTTACAATTAATGTTACAGAGAACTGAAATCGTTGGTTGGTTGATTGGTTGGTTTTTAATCCCTGGGAGATTTGTGAGTCCTATGGATCTTTTCCTGCAGTATGTGCTGAAGGCAATTTCTTTGTGTAGCTCTTAAAACTCTTAAGTGAAATGTCTCAAATGTATTCTGGTGTATGGTTCATCTAAGTGTTTACTGTCATGGTTTAAGCCCTGCCAACAACTAAGTACCACAAAGCCACTTGCTCACCCCCCTGCTTCTCTCTCCCCAGGCAGTATGGGGAGAAGAACTAGAAGAACGTAAAACCCGTGGGTTGAGATAAGAACAGTTTAATAACTAAAGTAAAATGTAGTGATAATAGGAATAATAATGATAACAATATTAACAATAGTAATAAATAGGGAACAACAAAAAAACAAGCAATGAAAATTCAAAAAACACAATAAATTGTTTACCACCACTGATTGATGCCCAGCACAGAGAAATAACTCTATCTCAGCTGAAACCAGGATATTTACTAGTAAATATACAAAGCAGAATAACTATTAGAAGGACATACGGCCTACTAAGACTCTCCTTCCCTCAACACCTAATTGATATGAAATTCTAAAGCAGGTTCTTTAAGAATAATTTTAATACGGCTTTTCCAGTGGAAAGGAAAAGTGCCATAAACCTCAGTGTACTCAGTGTAGTGGGTCTGTTTTCACTTACAGATTTACCCTGCAGCAGAGTCACATATCACTATATTTCCTTTGTCTATAGATCAGTAATGACAAAAGAAAAGATGCCATACAGTAGAGTGGCATTTTGATAGTAAAAAAGCCAGCCAGATTTTGAGGAGTATGAGTAGTTTTACTTTGCTAAAGACAAGAAACCTTTAAACTTTCACTGGTATGTCATTTTGTGAGTATAATATGGCTATTTGGGTGCCTTTTTAAAAATAAACAGATCTGTAATTGGATCATGTCAATCTGGAAAAGCTTTGGACTTCAATATTAAAAGCATTCACTTTTGCTGAGTTACTGTAAGATATACAGGTGAAATTTGTCTTTAACATGGGCACCTGTCATTTTCTGACACCCACATTTGTGCAGAGAATCTAGGGTCCCTTGACTTTATTGGCAAAGGGTTTGATTCAGTAATCTAATGAAAATATTTTCTGAGTGGTAAGGATATAGGGTTCAAAGCAAATTGGTTGTGAGATGTTAAGTCTGTGGATCTATAATAGCTTGACAGGCAAGCTCTCGTGAGGGGAGGGGCTAGAGGCTGAAGAGAAAATGGTACTGCCTTGTCTGGTGCTAGACAGAAAATATCCCGTATGAGTGAAGTTGTGGTAACACAAAGTTGTCCCTATGTTTACTCTCCTAATTAATGACATAACAACTTCTCTGAAGCATAAGACATGTACGAAAATGTGTTTGTGTTCATGCATGTTCATGTTCATACCTGTTTCTTCTGTAAAAGAAGACAGCAGCATTAACTGACAACTGTTCATTAATGCAAGACTAAAACTTTTCACAAATATTTAGTCATACCAACCAAGATGAACTTTTCTGTGACAGTTTTCACTGAATATATACAGTAAACAGCATAGTTGTCTTATTTCAGCCTTTAGGATGCATCATTTCATGGAAGTAGTCACAAGAGGGTCATACATGTGCAGTTTTCGTATTTTAAAATGGAAGAGATCACATCCAAAATAAGAAACAGTATCACATCATAAATTCATAACCAGGCACACCTGGACACTGCTATATGAATGTTACTGCCATGAAAGACAATGCACCTTTAACATTACTTGGAACCATAGCTTCTAGTTGTTATTGAGGACCCACCACGATGCTGAAAGAGAGGGGAATTTATTCAGTTGTTAACATAAACAGTATTTCTTTTTCCACCTCTTATAAATATCCTAAATAAAATAGCTATAACATATGTAAAGAAACAGCTAATACTACTTTATTTGAAAGCTGCATACCATCAAGGACAAAACCTCTCCAGGCAGGGTAAGAATACTTAAAATAATAAGAGAGTTGAGTCTTAACTGGTTGGGGTATGGCTTCAGCACAAGAATTTGTATGTCCTTTTGATAACATCCAAAGAAGCATCAGTATATCATAGGTGCAGTTGCACAGAATTAAGCACTTAGAACTCAGAGCAAACCACATAAATTCTCCCTCCTGTTCTGCTGTGTGTCTCAGTGTTTAAGCCAAGCACTGTGCTCCCTGGGTGGCTGTGATGTCTTTAATGTCTTTCCTGGTGGCATTATTCAATGCTGGTGTTCTTTTCACACAGCTCTAGGGCTTAAGAGCGTTTTGTCCCAAAAGCAAGATAGACTTGTAAAATGGCATTCCAGTAGAAGAAGATCTGTAATCACCAGATTATAGACAGAGCTGGAATTAAGTACATCTGTACTTCTCCAGAGTCCCTACCCTTCGGCCTTTGGAAATTGAATGTTCTGCAGAGGAACTGTAAGATTTATGGAGAGATAGGATGAGAGGAAAGGAATTGTGACTCTGTGTGAGATGACCAGTTCCCTCAGTGGAAGGGTGTACTTACTAGGCTCAGTAGGTTTTGCACTACACAGTTTGGGGATTAAATTCAGTAACACGGTTTTGTGAATGCCCATAAATTTGTCAATTTATGCCATTTTCATGAAAAATGTTATTCTTGAAGAATGGTGAGAAGATACTTAAGAATCTACCTGAATTAGCGCTAAGAAAGCCTACTAGTCTTCGACACATCAGTGTATTAATGAATTTGGGGAAAAAAAAAAGCCAGTTGAACAGTTTATTTCATGGATTATAGTGTCAATAAGTGTTCATTAGTTTTCCCCTAGCTTTTCTTCACCAAATGTTCTCTAGTGTCCTAAAGCTCAGATTTTACATAAAAACTGTGCAGTCACTGAATATGAACTGATTTGTGCCACCCTGGTAGATCGGCCTGAAGCAACTTAGTTGGTTAAGAGATGTGTGAGTGATTATAATAGGTGAAGGTTCCTGTTAACTGATGGTAAATTAATTTGCTTTAGGATGATACTGGATCTATCACTGTTGAAGGCTCTTGTCTTCCTGACTTAGCTGCATAAGTGCACATTTATTTATTTTAATTAATTGGTGGAGTAGAGACTTTTGAGTTGTAATCTTTGATTGAATCAGATTCAGATTAGAAGTTTTTCAGTTCTTAGTTACCCAGGTGTGTAAAAAGGTGGGGATGTGTCAGAGCTAAAATAAATTTGTTTTTAAAATAGAGCCTGTCTATGTATTAGTGGCAGAAGGGTTTTCCCCCTGATTTTACAATGGTACCACATTACAGTGTCTAAAATTCTTTCATAAACCATATTTGTAGGATTGCAGCCATCATTTTTTACTTCAAGATCATTTTCTGTCTTTCAAATACAATTTGTATAGATCAAACATGGGAAGTACTTTCCATGAAACAAAAGTTCAAATCTTTGGGCAGATTTCTAAATTATAGGTAATCTATAGAGCTGTAGAAAAAGCACTGAATGCCATACTCTCCACTGCCCCCCAGCAAGGAGCGCACAGTGAGAAATGCTGTTTCTATGGCAACTGTGCTGCAGACTGAAATCCTCTTAGCAGGCAGAGTCGATGCTTTAATGAGCATTTTGAGTCCAATTTCAGGTACTCATATCTTTTTAGGCATTTAAAAACTATGTTTACATTTCATTTTACATTAATTTTTCTTTAGCTGTGAGTGAACCACCCCTGGAACATTCCTGGGTCATGTGCACTTTAGTTCTTGGGCACCAAGAAGTAAGGGAAAAAACTGTATTGTTTCCTTCAGCCAAGTTTGTCTTAAATCCAGCAGTCTCCCGGTATGACAGAAGATTTTAATAGATTCTTGGTTCATTAAGTGCAATCTCCTGATACTGTGGGAATCCCTGGCATATAACTGTGTGTCCAGATCAGGCTCATGAGGTCTGAAAATGGGTTGGCTGCTTTCTTTCAAGGTGAAACCCCAGGTACAGAACTATGTAATATTGTCTTCTTTTTTTTTTTTTTTTCCTGCTAGGTGGGACTTTATTATTTTAAATGTATTCTGTGCTCAGACATGGGGAAATTAGGGTTTCATTGTCATAGATTTATGTTCCCTAACAAAAATTTGCTGTTCTCTCGCTGTAAATATGGGACTGATGCTTGCTTTGCTTCATCCTGCTTATTGGTTTGTATTAGAAACAATAATTCATAATATTTTAATACCTTGCTGTTTCAATTTTTTTTCTTTAAACACAGCAGGAAGCATATATAATTAATAGGTTAGTAAATGTCAATTATTAGTAATTAAGGATCCCTTCAATCAATGTAAGTATTAATTTGATGAAATCTTCATCAGCATTTTTCTGCCTGAAAATCTTAAACAGGGTCTATTTTACTATTCACAAATACTATTGTTTAGGTATTTTCTTAAAGAGTATATGCTAGCATAACTTTGCACTATATAAAATAAAGCATTGTGAGTCTCATTCTTACTGATGCACTTTACATTTCTATGCTTAAAAAACATTTGGAGTTCCTCTCTCCTCCATACTTTACCAAAGATGATGTGACTAAGAGTGATATGCAGTAGTCCTGCATAGAGAACACACTAACATAGCAGGATTCTTCACATGGAACAAACAAAATAATGTGAAATATTGGTATTTACCAGGGACTAGCATTGTTGTCACGATCTCTGGAGTTTCCAAGAAGTCCACGTTACTTCTTTGGAATGTCTTGCTGTAATTCATTTGAAGGTGGCTAAATAATTGTAAAAAATAAGAATATATCATTTTTTTTTAAAGGGGCTTTTTTTTTTTTCTTAATGAGCATTAGAAATTTTACAGTTAATGCTGTATCAGAAATACTGTGCTTCAAAACTTTGGCAGTGATGATAGTAGGAGAGGAGACCAGATAAACTGTGAAGTGCTTTCATGTTTTATTAAATACAGGTTAACTTCTGTGCGGTTAACTGCCACTCTGAGGCACTGGGTAACTGGATGTGAGCCAGTGTAGTGTTGACATGTGTTACTAGTTTTATTGAGTCTTAGTGAACGCAAACTTTGAACTGGGGTTTTGTTCAAAAGGAAAGCAACTAAGCTTCAAGAGACTTCTTCCTTCAGAATGGTTTCTGTCTACAGGTTTAGGACTGTAGGGTTTGTTTGGGTTTTTTTTTTTTTAACAGTAAATTTACTTAAGGAATATCTTTTTGTCTCAATTTCTCATCTGTCTGCCTCCTGCAGGCTAGAATTCGCCTGGTAGGTCATTTAACCACTACAACTTCCATTCAAATTAGCCTTGTCTTTCTGACATTTTTCTTTACATATGTTAGTATATTTAAGTCTTTAGCAACCAAAATATTGTTCTGAAGTATTGTGATATATTTAGAAAGATATCACTTATCCGTATTTAAAATAATTTTTATCCAGTCTTTCTACATGATTGCTTTCTAATCTTCAAAACGGTATTACAAAACCAAATCAAATCAAACCCCCAAAACTTACCTATTCCAGGCATTGCTGTTCTCCCAGAACTCATAAACAATGAAGCGGGAATCACTTGGAAGCTTCTGTATGGAAACACTAAGAATTGTAGAGTAGAAATTGTAGAATTTAAAGAAACATGGCAAAGTTATTGGACATGCACATCTTATTCTGAGCTGCTTAAGAGTAGCACTAAATGCAGTGGTTTTGGGGAAAAAAAAACAAAACAAACCATAACTAAAAAAACCCCAACCCTAAGCCAAATAATAAATGTAAAAAAAATAATAAATAAATGATTACACACTGCAAATTATGAGCTTTTTCTTTTTTTTCTAAAAAATGACTTGGAATATCTTCATGGCTTTTTTTTTTTTGAATATTTTACTGCACTTATGATGGACCCATTTATGAAACTCCTTTTTCATATTGCTCCAGAAGTGTAATTTGTCTGAAGAACTGCTAACCACTAATACAGAACATTAATCAAACAACTGTGGTTCAGAGAAAATTGGCCAATACAGCGTATCATAGAATCACAAAATCACAAAATGGTTACGGTTGGAAAGGACCTTCAGATCATCTAGATCCAAGCCCCTGCCGTGGGTAGATATGCCACTGAAACTGATGTTCAGATGTGTAGTGTAAAAAGTATATATACGTATTTCTCAGAGTGGCCAAGTGTGAGGCTGCCGATCTTACTACTGATGTCCTTGAAAACTGGTCTCAGATTATATTTCACTCTGTGAGAAGCAAAAACTGGTACGATTTATCGTCTTTCTCCTGTTGTATGTGAAAACACGCTGTAAATTAGCAAAAATACCAAGAACTGTTGGAAAACAGTCATATGCAGCTACAGTTAAACTCAACCAGTAGGTGGCTCTACAGACTTACCAAATGCCGGTAAACCTGGGAAAGAAAGTCACTTTTTGCCGTCATTAGTTGAGTTCTGAAGTCATGTAAGCTCTCTCCCCTGACAGGGTAGCAGTCATTGCAGTGTTTTGCTGGATGTTCGTTTTTGGAGGAGGGCTGGCCAGCTTCTCATCTTTGTTTTTTCCAGCTTTTGGTCCAGAAGAGAGTTTTATTTTCACAGAGTCATAGAATGGTTTGGGTTGGAAGGGACCTTTAAAGATCATCCAGTTCCAACCCCCCTACCATGGGCAGGGACACCTTCCACTAGACCAGGTTGCTCAAAGCCACATCCAGCCTGGCCTTGAACACTGCCACAGGTGGGGCAGCCACAGCTCCTCTGGGCAACCTGTGCCAGTGCTTCACCACTGCAAATAGGTCACTCTTTTCTTCTTCCAGCTAATTTTACTTTTTCTGGTCTGGGTGAACACTACTGATACAGTCCTAAGTGTGACAATCAAATAACCACAAGGCTCACAAATTAGGGATGTGACAGTCAGCTCTGGAAGCCTTTGAAGATGTAGGAAGATCCTGTATTGTGCACACATTATGAAAGTATTTCTTCCAGAATTGTTCTGTAGTGTGTAAAATAGCATCTTTCTCCAGCATGTTCAATTGAGAAATTCAGTACACTAGTGAGTCATTAAAATTTATTCTTAACACAGCTCTAATGTTTTCTTTAATTCTAAAAGGAGCAAAGCAGAAATATCCTGATTAGTTGAAAAATTTGCTTTTTAGTTTTTCCCATTATTATGAATGAAAATTTTAAAATTGTAGATTAAAGGGAAGAATCTGAAATACTCTGAAAGCTTCCAAGCAGAGAACTGGCAAACAAGGTGGTAAGTTGTTCACTTGCCAAGTGAGCGCAAATGAAGGATGGCAAGTGAGTTTTCCAATATAGCGTGTCAGCCTGCAGATCTTGCAGAAGCCATGAATTGATGACCTGCAGAGCTGAGAAGCCTTAGAAGACTAGCATCTTTGTGATAGTCTGTGTTGACGTTTTGGGATAGTACTTAGCCTGCACATACACTTTGACATGTCTTTGTGGTTTTAGTTGTCTTTGAAAAGCTCTGCCTTACACACATGGCAGGAAAGACGATATTACAAGTTCTCTCTTCATAAGTAATTTACCTCCACTTAAAAGGTATTCAAGAAATTAGGCTGCATTCCTGCCTTCAGCCCAAGCACAATAATGTTGTACTTACTGCAAGCAGCCACCCTGAGTAGAAGCGGATTCTACATACTGCTTCAGAGCAAGCCGGAATTCCTCAATTTCTTCTTCTATCACAGGCATTTGACGTTGGACAATCATTATGTGCTGATACAAGAACACAACATTATTACTGTCCTATCATCTTGAGTCCCTTGTGCTTTAAACTCAGAAAAGTCTACCATAAACAATAAAAACCACAGTTTGCAGTCTCTGTTTCAGTGCTCTGGAGTGGAGAAGTATAATTGCTCGTATGTAGCGTTTACGTCTGGGCAAGGTGAGGCACAGAATGGGAATACCCAAATGAGTGTCCACCTTAGAGAAAACAAGAATTCTCTGAACACTGGATGACAGTAACTATGTGAAGCAAATGTTGATCTTTAAAATGTTCAGTAATAAAGTCAGCATGTTTCCTTCGATGAATCTGTATGCAGCCAGGTGTGAGGTTTGAGATAAGAGTGTATTCCCACAGTCTGCACTGGATGCAGTGTTACTTTCATTGAGGTGCTCTTATAGTCTTTTACCTTTTAGAGCTATGACTCACACCTGAATGAGATGCCTAAGGTAGCCCATGTTAAATGATCAACAGAGATTTCCTGTATAGCAATATTGTATAATATAATTTTTTTTAAATAATAAATTCCTGTGATGAAAGAAGGAATTTGATGGATCACCTCTTCTGGTTATTTTTTTCATGTGTATTTGATTCCCATTTTGCTAGATCCAAAGCCCTGAATGTATGAATGCTAGTGTATCAGAAAAAAATGAGCTTGATCTTGGGACATAAGCTTACTTAACATTAACTTTATCGTTGGTCATGATTTTGGTTTTGTAAGTTGCAATACTGAGTATTGATTAGTACTAGATTATATCCCGTCTTTCCTGATAAGGTTTCCTGTAGCAGTTTTGGAAAGGAGGGAGGGGGGAAGGAAGGGGAGAAGGCCATACAACAGTGATTTAAAGCATGCATTCAGCATTAGGTGATTTGGAGCAGAGAAGCTATCACTGCTTAAAACACTGATGCCAGATTGGTAAATCTTATTAATGGTACCTCTTCCTCCTTATGTGAGTTGAGGTTTTGGCTACTGCATCCTTTGAAAACGATCCAAACATTAATATAAAAGTTTTGCCCACATATTCTTTTGTTGCCTCTTGCACGATGTATCCTGCTAGCTAAAATGGTTCCTTATTGCTGGAAAAAGTGAGGATGGTGATTTTTTAAATTAATTTTCAACAAAAGAGATCAGGTGAAATTGTTGCCTCAATACCTGGCATGCAAAAGGAAATGTCAAAATCATTATCTTGAAAAGCACTTACAGATCTTGCATTTTCTTCCAAAACCTCCTCTTCAAATGGCTCGAGCTTTAGGTCCTTTGAGGCAGTTGAAAAGAAAATAGAAATATACAAGGCAATACTACATCTGTAGTCTGCTCTTACCTTTTAAACAAACTATTCCAATAGCTAGATTCTGTTTAATATCCAGAAGTTATAATTAAATCCCTTCTTTATTCACTGTAAGTTGAATAGAAGCATTGTTTGCAATGTCTTGAACGCTTCAGTGGTTAAATTCAACCTAAGCTGTCCGTACAGTTTTATTTATAATACTGATCAGGTGATATGTCATTTGTAAGAAATCCACTTGTTCACAAATGTGTAAGACAGATACCTTCTGAAGTTGCCATGTGGGCTATGGAGATGAGCAAGGATGGTGATTTGAATTACAGAATCAACTAGGTTGGAAATGACCTTTAAGATCATCGAGTCCAACCATTACCCCAGCACTGCCAGGACCACCACTATACCGTGTCACTAAGGACGTCATATACACAGTTTCTGAACACTTCCAGAGATGGTGATTCCACTACTTCCCTGGGCAGCCTGTTCCAATGCCTGACCACCTTCTCAGTGAAGAGATTTTTCCTAATACCCAGTCTAAACCTCCCCTGGCACAGCTTGATGCCTTATCACTTGAGACTGACCCCCACCTCACTATTACCTCCTTTCAGGTTGTTGTAGAGATCGATAAGGTCCCCCCTGAGCCTCCTTTCCTCCAGACTAAAAAACCCCAGGTCCCTCAACCTCATTGGAAATGAACCATCTATCAGCTACCATTCTGCAATCATAAAACTTCACACAGAGAAACTTCCCTATGGGGGTTAAAGGTTGCAAGGGACTGTTTTTCAGCATTGCTCCAAGTCAGGTTTCTGAACTACTGCCCTTGCTTCTGAGGACGGGCAGGGCAGCAGCAAACAGGTGCATCTGGGAGGCAGCAGTATGCTTGCTTGGCACACAGACTGGATGCGCACTTCATGAATCGGTGTTTCATGCAAACACCGTCTAGTAACACACACGCAATGAGCATTTACATGCCAGGCACATGCAGTACCTTCAAGCCCAGTGCCATATGGATATTCTGAAAAATATCCATATGCCTGACAAAAAGCAGACTGATCTGCAGTAAGCAGCTGGGGCGAGATGCGCTCTTTGTTAGTGGTGTTTCACGTCCTACTGCGTGCAATTCTTGTGTGAGAAAGATACAAACATTCTGCTTTCCCACTGGGTGAGGATTGATTAACCTCAAGGAGCAAGTGTTTTGCCAGCACAAATACTGTACTCATGGAAAAGCCAAGAAAAGGTGTGCAGGTAAAATCCAAATGACCAGGGGACCCACATCAGCAGCAGGTGGCAGAGCAAGGCAGGAGTGAAGTTGCAATCACACTAAGTCCAGTATAGCTTTACTTCTGTAGAATGTGCATAGAAGGGCATGACATGCGTGATTGGAGGGAAGAAAACCCAGCTTTTAATAGCTCATTTATCAGTGCAGACACCTCAGATAAAAACCCTGAGGGAAAATGCATGTTCCTGTGGCTCTTTTATACTTACAGTGCCTTTTATTTCTATGGGAAACAAATGGAAAAAGAGAGGGAAGGAATGACTCAAGTTATACTGGAAACTCTCTACTAAGATAGCAAGAAAAGTATTCCATTTTTTTTCCAGAAAATATGAATCTAGAAAAGAAAAGATATTATTTAAGGGAAAAAAAAAAAACAACTTAGGAGACTAATTCATGGTTAAATTCACCTTTGACAGAAGACAGCAGAAGAATTAGACAACACTAAATCCTTCACCAGGTAGTTTTCCAGTAGGAAACACAGATGGATAACTTGCCAGTCCCCTTAAGAAGTTTTAAAAATCTATGCCCTGCCACTGTTTCCCTTTGGCACTGAGATCCTTTTCAGGCTGAGGTTGAAGATTTTATTGAAGAATTTATCTGTAGCAGATTTGATCATTTTCTAACATCCTTGTTAAACATCCTCGAATTATATACTACAAAATGGCTGGCTGCTTTCTGTAATGCTTGCAGTGCATTAGTGCTATATGCCAGGTCTCTTTTTTTCAGTCACATTCTTTTAAATGTTAAGTTTCCTTGAACTCCTTTTGGCATCAGTCTGTGTCGGGAGGCAACTGTGGCAGGACAGGGAGCTGCTGTTCCCAAAGCAGAGCTGGGAGTAAAGCTGGACCAAAGGCGGGAGCTGCGTTTCATGAAGGAGTTTGACATTTCAAAATCCAACTTTGATCTTTCAGAAAACAAGTTGCTACTAAAATGTCATTAATGTGGCAACTGCTATGTAATTGCTTTTGTCCTGCAGAAATGACCTCTGGGAGGAAGCTGCTGTGTGCAGGTGGATGGGTATGCCCTAGCCAGAGGCTTACTGGAGTGAGCAGACCGTGAGGAGCTGCTGAGCACAGCAAGGAGCAGAGTGAACAGCTGACAGAAGTTACAGACAGTGCCACAAGGAACGACCAAATTTCACATCTGGTTAAGGAGAAATGATGCGAGAGACTGTCAGACCTCAGGGATAACCAAAGGAAGTACTGGCCTTTTGGAGAGCAGCCTTACGTGGCCAGTAGTGCCAGGGGTGACTGCATCAGTCATGCAGCTAATCAGTTATAAAGCTGAGATAACTGAAATACCAAACTCTGATCCCAGAGTGGGACCAAAGGGTGAAAGTAATTAGGAGCAGTTTGTTCATTTGGGAGGGAGCAATGGCAGAGAAAGGTCAGTATGTTCATCTTGCTGAGCCCTGTGCTAGATCACCACTGTTTATTCTGGCTTCTTGTCTAATCCCTCACTTTTTTTCTGTGTGTATAATTTGCTACTGAACTCAAGCTGGACTAGCAGGCGAGGAGGAGGAGACACTTGTCTGCCAGGACGCAAGGTCTGAGCTAGTGCCTGACTAAGGGGCATGGATACAGCCACAAACTTAAAGACCATGATAATGTTCACAGGGGAACATCCATCCTGCTCAACTGGGAAGAAGGATCAGGCTGTTGTGTATTCATGTTTCTGCAGTGATGCCTGTCTGAGAGTGCTGGTGAAGGTACCTGTGCTGCTGTGCTTTGACCAGTGTCTTTGGAGTATGTGCACAGCCTCACTGATGGTAAGCACTGAGCTGCATGGAGGAGCAGCATCAGCCCGACTGGGACTGGAGCAGCTCCTGTATCTGAGAGCAACCTAAAACCTTGTCTCTAGTAGACCAGGAGGAAGAAATCCCCTGAGTCCTAAATCCTTGAATACAGCTATCCCTTAGCATCTATCCAACATTAGCTGCCTGTCCTTCAACAGGGACACTTCATGTAGAGAACAACACAGGAATTTAAAACCTTGCTTAATACCCTGCTTTCTTCTCCAAAAAGTCATCACACATAGACATAACCCAAAATTTAAAAGCTAGAGTAGCATTCAGTCTCATTGAAAGTAAAAAGAAATAGGTACTTTCTCTAGAGACAGATGTTACTCAGGTTTTTACAAGGCCCTGGAAGCCCTGGTTTCATTGGATCAGATGGGTCATTTGTCAGATGCCCAGATGGCTCTGCTTTGGCATGGGAACTGCAGGCAGTCTCTGGGCTCTGAGACCTGGTGCAACCACCTCCCAGGCAGGATGATAAGATTTGCATTAGCTTTTGGTTGAACTGTACTCATTATGAAGAGTGTTCTAACCTTTATAAATCAGTTTTCTCTGGTGGGGAAGGAGGAAACACAACTTTATGTCAAGCTTTAGTGGGAAAGCTTAGAGAGGAAAAGGAAAAAAAAAGAAGATCCTAAAAAGAGAGACTTGTCCCATGTTCCCCAAAAGAAGCATAACTAAGTACAACAGAATCCTCCAGTCATAATGTGGCTATTCAATTCTTGATGAACAGCTGGATCTGTAATGATGGAAAGGGGAAAGGAAAACATATAAAAAACCCATGTCATACTCTGATGAAGCAGGAAAGAAGGTGGAAGGAAAAAATGTAAGGATTTAATGGGTGTTAGCTGTCTTGGGTGGTGTTTCACTCACTGATTGGAAAGGCTGTGACTGGGACATGGAAAGCAGTTGTGGTTTAAGGATTTCTTTACTGAGACACAAACAGGTGAAAAGAAACACACACCTTCTTTTCCAGCCTGTCAATCAGGTTTTGGAGTCTGTTTATCTGGGTCATCCACTGGCCATTTTCCTCCATCCAACCTTTGGAAAACATAAATAATGAACGTTTATCAAATGTTACTCAGTACTGGAATACAGCATATTCATTTATTTTATAAAAATGTTTGGCTTAACTGGCAATTTATTTTGCTTCTTGAAGATTGTGCTGCAGCTAGTTCCATGTTCATTTAGGTGTAACTAAAGGAAAGCATGATTTTGACTATATGAATTATTTTCTTTCTTTTTAAGAATGTAAACTACATTCTAGATTAATATATTCAAGTGCTTTTGAAATCATGGTGGTACCTCAAGAAACAAATACTCTCCTCTGCAGATGTAACCAGCTCATTACCTGGGTACCTTCTGCTCAAAATTCATAAATCATCTGGGGTGTATGTGTGTGTATGCGTGTATTAAGGTTTTCTTTATCGTAATATTTTTCTTAGTTTGCCATTTCTTCACCTTCTTTATGTAAAGATTGTCCAAGAGTAGGAGTCAGTTCTTATGCTGCATAGCAAGACTGTCTTTGGGATTCCTTTCAGGTACATCCCATGGATGGACCATGTGTGTGTCTTGACTGCAGTTCCTCTTTCCTCCCGAGAGCATCGGTGAAAGTGAAAGGGAGTCAAGAATGTCTGTAATATCCTGGCATGGGCAGTACAACTCTGGTGACAGGATCTTAGTTGCTCCTGCAGAGAGACAGCAGAGCTGCTGTAGGAACCTGTCTGCAAGGACGTTGCCATAGTCAGCCTGCTGCTGTTCTCAGGGTCCTGATACAGTGTTTCCAGCAGAATTCCAGGATTATTCAAAGGTTAAGAGTATGAATGTTCTTTCAAAAGAAACCAAACCAAACCAAAACACAATATTCTTATGAACAGTAGAAAAGAATTAATTGGGTGTACATCTGCAGCTAAGTGACCTAGGTTTCTGGCATGGCGTGTTGAGGAATCCTGATATTGAGAGCTTCCTGAAGGAGCCTCCTAAAATAATTGTAGAATGGCTTGTATGCATTGGGAATAAGGGGCCTTTTCTTCATTCAGAGAAGGGTCATTTAGCTGCTACAGCTGTTTTCATACTTAAACTCTGAGGGGTTTTCAGCTTTTTAATAGTTATCTGCAATATGCTGTCTTTAGGGCTTTCATGTATCCACTAATTATGGTATAACCTTGTGGTAGACTCTAGCTAATTTAATAACATTAACTTGATGTCCTTGCAGCTAATGACCCTTCTCCACCTTTCCAACCAAACAGCATTCCTAGGTGCTTGATGAATTGCAGCAATATTTTTATTAGGATGGATCCATCCTCCACTAGATTCTCCTAGAATGAGATTTTGGGCTTGAGATGTGCAGTTTATGCCTGTGGTGAATGCAGATTTTGACCGATTCAAGATCGATTAAGTTTTGTCATAATAACTTTCATATCTTTTTCTCCCAAGTCATGGAAGTTAGCAGCGGAGGAAAGACTAAAGACACTGTGTCTTGTCTCTTTATATGGATAAGACATGCCCCTTTTAGAAGACTTCCTAGCTCCCCCTCTCTACTGCAGCCATATTTATAGCTGTATAATGATCTGATATCATATAGCAAAGGTGAAGCCAGAAAATGCTCTACAAAGCCACAAACATCTCTGAGCCTCTCTAAAGTCTCTGGAAAATTTTGCTTTGCTAACACCTCAAGAAAATACTCAAGGAAACACATATGTGCCTGATGAGAGCTGTTGCTGGCATCTCCCACAGTGTGAATGTGTACGGCAGTGATTGCTCTAAAGACAGAGAAAGGTTATTTATCAGAAACTGAAGATTTTTCAACACATGCTCTTGATATGCAAATTCAGTAACTTGCTCATTTTCCAGCTGAGGGCTCCTGTGGCACCTGGACTATGTTTTGAGCAAACAAAGAAATCGTGGGTGTGGTACGTAGAGGAGGCAGAGTGTGGCTTTACCTGAACAAGTACAAAGGCTAAAGAAGTGCTGGCTTGAGAGTTAAGTGCATACACACACCTGTGATGTTACTGTGCACATGGGTAGCAGGCAGTAAGGAGGAAGACCAAGTGCTGAGACAAACACATATATTGTCTAGTATATTTTTTCTGTATATGTATGCGTATGTGTGTTTTAAATATCTTTAAAATGTGAAATGCCATACCTGTGCTAAAACGAGGGCTGTTTGGTGACAGGCTGTTATTCCTCTGCAGCCTTCGAGCTGAGTGTTTTCCTGGCCACTGAACTGAGAGCACTTCTGGTTTTGCTGGATCTTGTCTGCACAGAAACAGGAGACTTTATAAAGTAAAAAGAGGAAGGTTAAGCTGTTGCAAACCTATCTTTAAGGGAAAGAAAGCTCAAAGTTGGTGTTTGCGATGTGATTCTGACCTGACCTAATGAACCATTCACACTGTTCCCTCATTCACATGAGTTTCATGACATCTCTGCAGAGGAGCTGGGGTCACAAGAACAGCTACAAGTGAGATAAGAAATTTAAAGGTCGACTTCTTCAGCTTAAAGATTGAAAAGATAAACAGTAACATGTATCTGATAATAAGGAAGGAAAACTGATGAGAATTAGCTAATACTGGATGGAGAACAGATACATTTCTGGGACTGTGAGCACCCTTAGTTTAGGAATGTGTGAATGGGATTTTAACTCAGTCTATCTCTGGGTTAAGCATCATTGAAGATGATTTTACATAGGGACTGGGGCATCTGCACTAGGAACTAACTCGTTTTCTCCAAAATAGCTGTAGCTGAAGTGCTGAGTTAGCCTGGCTTTTCCATTGCTACTGCTATATTCCTTCAGTTTGCATGATGAAATGTAAAATGGTGAACCCTCTGCTCACACCCTTCACTGCAGCTGGGCAGGAGGTTTTCTGACCTCTCCTGCCGAGTCTGTTCCTCTGTGGTTTCCATGGCACACTCCACAGAGCTCTGGAGGGACTGAAGCTGGTTCAGTGTTTCCTTCAAAAGAAAGCGAGTCACAAACTGCTCCAAATTAGAAGCTTTCTGATAGCCCTAAAAAAAAATAATAAAAAAAAAAAAGATTTGCCTACTAGGTTAGAAATATGTGAGGAAAGATTCAGATTTAATTCAGAAAGGAAGCAGCTTGGATGTTTCCATGCCTATACATGTGAACCACATAAGCAACCTAACTTTACATTTTGGGACCAAAAGACCTCTACATTTCCAGATTTAAATGCTGATCCCACCCAAGCTGAGAGAGTGTCTCAACATCATTTCCACCTCCAAAAGACCCCCTTTCCTTACATTTCTTAACTCCAGTTGATGGCAGTACCACATTACTTCTTAAGCATGGAAAACTGCAGAAATAGCTTTTATTTGGCTCCACACTTGTGAAAGAAGTTTATCGAGCCCACTCACCTGCCTCTGACAGTGATTATGGGAATAGTCTTTGAGCAAGGCACATGCTTAGTGATATTCCCCAGAAAACTCCACTAGCAGTTTGGCTGGAGGACTGCCTGTGCCAGAGAGATTGCCTTCTAAATTTAACAGTCTTTAACTGATTTTTGTTCCTATAATTTGCTTAATTATTTTTGAAACCATATATCAATATATTTCACAATTACACTAAATGCATCCAGAAGTTCCTTGAGTTGGAGCTTGGCTTAAAGTTTGCACCTGTATTTAGCATAATATAAAACACCTCTTTGTGGTTTTCTCATTAATAAATATAATAGAGAGGATAGGCCCCTAGAGCCTTTGCTTACCGTATAGAGCTCCCATCTGGAAAAGGGAAGGAAAATGGACTTCTATCTCTAACTCTGAATGAATTTGTAGGGTCCTACTCTGATGAAAGTATGCTGGTGTGCGTTTTTCATATGCCCCAAGTCTGCTTATGTGTGCAGAAATCCCATTCAGTTGATCCTGAAAGGCTTTGGCTACAATTCCATCTAAAATGGTTTCATAAAATATGAGGTACATTGAATGAAAGATTTCTCTAGTCACCACATTTGAAGATGGGTTGTCGGTCTGTTATCTCCAAGCTTTAAAGAAAATCTGTCATTTGAATGTTGTTGCCTCCTACTCAAGCTGACAACCCATTTGAGTTTTTTTGGCAATGCATATGAGTATTTTCAAGCTCTTCCCTGTTCTCAATGTGAAATGCCTTTTTGACTTTTAGACTTCTCTTAGAATGTTCACATATATGTGTTTGCAATCAGACCACAAATGTGGGACGTTTTGAAATTTAAATGTAAAATAAAAGGACTAAGTTAATAGCTTTAAAAGCATTTTGCTGTCAAGTGAGAGCAGTCGATTCACAATATGTGTTATTAATTTAGTTCTTGTTGGAAGACTCCTGCTAGAGAGATCTCAGATGTTGATGAGTCATCGGAACTTATTCATGTCGCCAGAAGCAACTTCTATATTTACTTCTGTCTTCAGATGAATCAGGTGTAAGCCACTCTCCAACAAATAATTTCTCATTTATACTTTTTTGAAATAGATTTTCATGGGAGATTGTCCACCTTTTGAATGAATACCTTAGGCTCACACCGGTCCTATAAATAACATTTATGGTAACCTTTATGATTAGTATATCTTATTATGCAATAGCAAAGCTTATTTTCTTCTTCTACATTGTCTTCATTGCAACTGATTTAAAACTGGTGCACCTGGCAGACATAATTTAATTTCAAAGAACTTTGGTTCTCTGGAAATAAGTGATGACAGAACAGACAACTTCTTGTAAGTTTTTGAATACCAAGGCAATCAAACAAGAGTAGAATAATCAAAGTGTTTCAAAATCCTGGGCATCCAAAAAGCAAGTGCTACAGATACCTCCATATAGCTTCCTGCTTGTAGTCATTGTAAATCTGATGCTGGTATGCTGAATTACAACTTAAAATGTACATCCATCCTGTTTCATTTTGCTTACTGTTCAGCTGGGCCTTGCTGCTGGGAGGGGATCATACAAATATTAGCTCTGTAATACTTGCTGCTCTCTGAGGCTGGCTGCGTTTTGACTCCTTTAGAAATATTTACTGCACCTGAAAATCATTAAGATTTCAGGGTTTTTCCCCATCAGAACTACTACAGGTTTGGGCATTGCACCAGGATTTAGTCTTTTTTTTCTTCCTGTTCTGTTGTTCCGTAAGCTGTATACTTGGAAAAGACCTATGGAAAAGGCCCTTGTGATCTTTAAATACAGCTTACAGTTACAGGCACATGAGTTTTTTTCTAAAGATGGGCCATGCAGGCAGGATGCTAACATGTCTGTGCGAGTCTAGAATTATCAAAGACTCTTTCCTTATGTACCTTTTACCCAAACAGTAGTGATTGCAACTCTTCTATACAGAAGACTTAACTCTTTTAATGGGTGAATGGCTACTCAGTGTTTTTCTTTAAGTAATGGCTCCAAGCCAGCAAATCTGAGCTCACAGCAATGTTGGACAACTTTGACTCCTGCCCACTGAAAAACAACTATGCCTACCTGTCCTTCTAAAATTCTTTAAAGGTCATGGAAAAAGCTATTCAGCGTATATAAATTGACAGCATTATTATAATTTAAGTCATGGAGGGAAAAATATTGTCCATTACAATTCAACTTAAACCTCAACTCCAGCTCTCAGCAATGAGGAATTACATGCTTTGTTATCATTTCACTACTCTACTTCATACAGAAAAATGCTTTCATTTGCATTTCACTGGAGGCACAATGGTACAAGATTTCATTAGGAGAAAGACATTGTTATTTCTGAATTAAGAAAAATGTGTATCAATTTCTTAAGTGTATATTATATTAAAATCAGCATAAGGGGCGTGCCCAGCATTTGTATTGTTAGTGTATTGTGCCAACAATTAATAACAGGACCCACTGATGGTGTCTATATATAAATTAGAAAAATGACCTGTTTAATTTCATTAGCTGCAAATTACCATTCATTAGCATGTACATTATAATGCACAGCAGTTTGAGTAGTCCACATGAAGTAAGTCTGTGTTAACATATCACTCTGCTTGTTAGTTTTACCGATTGTGAGTGAATGAGGGTAATTTTCCACATGTACCTCATCAAGAGACAACTGTGACCTTTGCAAGCAGATAAGATTTGAGTTCCCATTAATGCAACTGAAAATACACATAATGGGGTGATTCTCTGTGGGAAAGGTCACTGTGGTCTTTAAAAGCTTGCTTACAGCTGTGTTAAAAGGTTCAGAAGAGGTTCTCCTTTTAGAAAGATGGAGGTGGTGGGGCTTAGGTATCCACATCGCAGGAGTCCACATCTCAGGGCCACCACAGGTTCAGTCACTTGATCCTCTCAAGTTCTGGTGCCAGCCAGTGACCTGACACCACACTGATCCACTTATCGCAAGAGCAGCTCCTTGAGATGGAAAGGAGGGAGATACCTGTGTTTGCTGACTTGGGACATGCAAACTAAATTTGTTTGGGGAAAAAAAACCCTCTGAAATCTCTCAGAAGGGGTGGGAGCTTAAGCAAAAGTTCCACAAATATAGTGGGAAAGGACATCTGGCTGTCATCTAGTCCAAACCCCTTTTCAGAGCAGGGCCAAATTCAAAGCTAGTGCAGGCTGCCCAGGGTGATGTCCAGCTCAGTCTGGAACATCTCCAAAGATGGAGATTACTCCATCTATCTTCAAAAAGAATTTTCCATATGTCTCTTCCCTTCCACAACCTGCAGACATTCACTCTTGTGCTTTTGCTGTGCACCCCTGAAAGAGATGATGTTGTTTTGTCTTCACTATAACTCCCCTTTAGACAGCAGAATTACATCTTCCCACAGCCTCTTCTCCAGGCTGAACAATCCTGGCCCCCTTGGCCTCTCCTTCCTATATTGCTATTCTACTGTGTAGCACATTATGTTATATAGCACTTTATAACTTATTTATTGTACTTTATTTGTAAAATTACTTATAATAGTTATTACTGTTTCTTACTTTGCAATCTTCTGTTTCCTATTTTATGCGTCATATACAAATAATTTCATAAAAGATATTTATGCTTATCTTTACAGAAAATACCCCCAAGGTGACTGAAAAGTAGTTATAATTGACAAAGACTCAGTAAGGAATAATCTATTTAAATTTCCCTTGATCATGGGATGCCTAATGCTCTGTGTGTTTATCCTGAATTAGTGGGACAACGCCATGCGTTACAACTTTAAATTGAGGATATAAAATTAGTCAGGATAACTGGTATGCTAGTGTGAATTTTTCATATGCCCATGGGAAAAAAAATAAAAAGAAAATTAAGCATTTTGATTTAATCCCCTAAGATGTAGTTCTTCAGACTGTATCAGAAAATTCAAGAGTAAAATCATAAATTCACCAGAAGCTGGGTCCAGAGATGCTCACCGTGTTGACTTACAGCATCCTCATTGTAAAAATGAAAAAGCATGGCATGCCAAACTATTACACAGATTCAGCTTCAGGTTTTGAGTGCTGCACAAGCTTTCCAAGTTTAGCGAAGTATTTTCTTTGGAATAAAACACATGTTTCAGTTCTGCCTACAAAATTGGAAGAGTGACAATCTCTACTAACCGCTTGCAGTGCCAACGTAAGAGCAAGGAAAAAAGTAGGTAATCATGGGTGATCACAGGAGAATATTGATGTATAATTATAATAGCATGCATCAGAACCACATAGTCTGTCACTCTACTGGGATTACTGAAGAAGTAATATACTCCTACTGCAGTAATAGTATGTACGAAATTCATGCATGGATAAAAAATAACTTGTATTTAACTGCTGTTAAGTGCGTTACACAGCTTGAGACAAGAAACTGTGTTTTATATTAGCAGGTAGCAGGGATATGTATAATGCCATTGCTCCTGGGAGAGGTTTGTAAGGATTGCAAGGAAAACATCAAAGCTGTTGGTGGTGGTTTTGATAGGAGAATGGCTAGGTTTAATGTTTCTTTTTCTGCTCCAAAGTTGATTCTATACACTTCTATGTTTAAAGGTACGGATAGTAACTTAATTAAGGGGTTTGGTTTTGGTTGGTTGTTTGCTTTTAAGTTCTGACTATTTAACACATC